TTTTGCCTAGGCGAATGAAACAATAAAAGTGTTATAAAAGATACGACAACGAATAAAATTCTTATTATTTCACGTTTATTATCTATACTAAAGACAAATAAAAGAAAATAATGTATGCAGATATATTCTTTAGATGTTTTTTGCTTACGTTTATATATTTCTATAGTTTTTTACAAATGCATTTAAGTTTTAAACTAGTCGAAGGAAAGAAATGAAAGAAAAATGTTTTTAATCTCAGCTTAATGATGTTGCTCAATTTATACTATCTGAAAGGCAAAAAATATTATAATGATTAAAAAAATATATTTGACGCGGCGGGAGACGGGCGGTGGGCAGCTGCGCCGGCTATCGTTCTCGAGGGTAAACAGCGCAGGCGGGACGATTGAACGTGAAAATTTAATTCAGGTCATTTTCATCGCGAAGAAAAGAATCTGTTATTTTCCAGTAAGGACGCTGTTATTGCATAAATACATTTTTCTCTGATGAGATTTTTAAATGACGACAAACTAAGGAATATTTAAACTAAAAACGGAAAATTTTAACAGATTGTTTTTGATGTTGTTATAAAAGAAATGTTCCATTACATTATTGCAGTAAGGCTTAACCTAGACATGGTTTGATAAAAGTACCATAATTATATCTCATTTCGAACATTGTGTCAATTATTTTTTTGGGTTATTTAAAGGATAGGCAACCCGTCTGGGTTCCTACAAATTTGTATTTTAGACTGGGAAATGCAAAGATCTCACCGAGACCGCACCGAGACCGGACGGTACTCGCTTCCGCGAGCCTCACGGTTTCTGTCGACATTTAAATACAACCTAACTTGTCAAAGTTTGCCGTTTCGCTAGCAAATGCTCGTACTGAAACTTCGATTTCAACAGCCATTTTAAAAAATGCATTGGGAGTAGAGTAAGTAGAAAATAAATCGGTTTTGTAAATAAATATTCAATATTAACAATTTAGATTAAGAAATATATTTTTGAAGACGTTAGTAGGTATAGTCATGAAACTAGAGTACACAGGATATCTTTAGATTAATATTTTTAAGACTGTTGCGAATTCAAGTGGGCTTTGAGTGCATTAGTAGAGAGTAATTTTAGTTGTAAAAGTCTTGTTTTTCTTTAAAAAATACGAACACGGTTACACAAATATAACGTATGTTGACAGAAAATAGGTTTTATTTTACTTATAAATCATTGTAAAGGATCATACTTCTCTTCGATTAAATTAATCCATTAAAATTTCATATTCAATCTCAGCTTGTTTACTGAAGGGACGCATCGTCTAACTTACTTCTCTCTATTGCGATTTGATTTCTATTCCTTAGAAGGCAAAGGTATATATTACGTTGCGAGGATTGATATTATAAATGTAATAACACGAACCGTCATAACTTCCAAATATCTTTCGGCAACGGAGGTTGTAAATAATATGCATAATTGATTTAACATGATCCATACTTCACGGGTACTCATTACTTACATTTCAGGTTTGCCGATTTTTAACATCTATCGTAAATGTTATGTGGTCAGATGGGACTCTTTTGCTATCTCCAAGATATCAAAAAAGTCTGTTTCGTCTGATATTTAGCGTACATTTGTTGACCGGCAACGCGTCGATGATCATATCAACGATTCCGCTTCTTGTTTATCCTCTTCTCTTATAAAAAATGATTAAGCAAGAAAAAATTTACACTAAGGGACTGGTTAACTATTATTGATATTATGTAAATTTAAGTTGTTGCCTTCATAATGTATGTAATATAATGTACTTGTATATTAGCATAGTAATACAATATTCTACGTAGCCTTTATATCCTGGAGAAAAGAATGTTCGTAGATTACAGCTTGTATTATATATTCAGTAACAAAGGCCGTCATAACCTCTAAATATTGCTGGCATCATGCATAATTTATTTAAGAGGATCGGTTCCGAATCTGGCAAACGGAGATATCCATTACTTACATTGAGCGGCGAGGTAGACAGTCTTGTTTGCGGACTTCTAACTTAATATAACGGACTGGACTTTACTTACCGAACTAACTACTTCTTTGTATTTGACAATATTTCATTGTATTATCAAAGGTCTCAAAATAAGGGTACTCCAGTCTTTACTACCCAATTAACAGTGATTTTATTGAATAGGTTAGGTTTTTAGGATAAAAGACAAACTTCGAGAATTGAGATACTTTTAAACCGAAATGATTTTACGTTGTACTAATTTTACATTTTGGAAGAATTTGAAGATTTTTTATATGGAAATCGTGTCAAATTGTAATTGTATTTAAAATAATTGAGTGACTAAGCTAAAAATTCTGACTTAGATTTAAACGTTTCAAGGAAGAAGATAAAGATGAATTCTGCTTAGGACAGCGTCGCCGGTTCAGCGTTTAAACGGAAGTTGCAAAAGTTCTTTAAATTAATACTTTGTCATGAATTACGTAGGTTTAAACATACTTTAAATATTGTTTATAGTTGAATATACTTAAGTCTTCTTAACTCTCCACAGCAAAATTTATAAATATTTTTTCTAAGTTCATTATACACGTTAAAAAAAAGAGAATTATTAATAGTAAAACTCCACTAGAGTATATTCTATCTTGGACTAAGTCTGTCTGCGGTCGGTTATTGACCTACCTGACCCCCATTCATTCATATTTATAGTGAACTGAGCTAACTTTACGGCCTGGCTGAAACAATGAATCACTCTTAATACTTGAACCACCTAGCTCGCTATTAGTTAGCTAATGGCCAGTTTCAATCCATTCGTTTGCTGGATGAAGTTAAATTTCAAAGTTCATAAACATCTATTGTTTCTCAGCGAAAATTCACGCAGATATTTAGGTTATTTGACTATACAATGCTCTTTTGAATAAGAAACTTTTAAATGTGAAAATCTACCAATAACTACCGTCAATTACTTTAGTCAATTAGAATTCTAAATAATAACAGCTATTAAAAGGAGTAAAAGAATACTGCAGTAATATTAAATTTATGAAGCACCAAATTACTTATAATTCCATTAGAAATGTAATAAATCATAACAAAATTCTGGTAACAGTTAAATACATATGATTGAATTTATTGAAAAAAAAAACTGTATTATGACTTACATAAATTGAATGGTCTATATAAAATCTTAACTTCGTATATACAGAGTGTTTGCTATTTGATTGTTACATATTTATGTAGGCGTCTTTATAATGTAACACAATATACTAATTGACTTTGTAAAATCGTAGTGTAAACTGAGGCAAGGTGCTTAGTTTCACAAAGCCTCAGGCTACATAATGCCCGTAACTTTCCTTACACCAACATTCGACTTTGAAATATTAATTCGGACCAAAGTTTATTACAATGTAGTATTTACCAAAAAGCATAAACAATAACCGTAGCGATTCATCTCAAAATACATCGTTGTGAAGTTTCACGTTCTTGGTAAATGTTAGTTAAACTTACTAAATAAGTTTAAGGTAATTGTGAATTTTAAAATTAATTAAATAACTAGTAATTTATACATTCATTGTTTTATGCTTTGGACATTGGGTTAAAATGTTGAGGTTAGCAATATAAGTTAAAAAAAAACTTACATTGACGACGTATTTTTTTTATTTAAGTTTCTTTTTCCAAATTTATCTCTCATGTGGTTGTCTACAATTATTATTTATTATCTGTAAACAACTAAGTTCTACCACGGTAGATATAAAAACAGTTGGTAATTTTTAGAGGAAAACATTATATGACTTTCGAGGGTAGTTGATACAGTTGGTTGGAGAGTTGGTTCGATCTGTGCGCATATATGTTGTGAAATTCGTGTTTTATTCAGCTGCAGCACCGCCATTCCTTATAATTACTGTTAAAATCTATTTTGAACCACTATCAACGTTCGCCTCTGAGTTTATCTTGGCAATAGTTATGCATAATTGATATAGCTGCCACAATTTTCACTCAAATTGTGCCGTAACCACAAGTCCATTACTCATAGTTGTCTGTTTAACCTGTAGTTATTAAATATTAATTTTAACTTTATGGATTAGATTATATAATTATTTTACATTTAGTCTTCTGTTTAGCGAAGAGTCGTATCTATGTAATGTAAGTAATATGCATTTTCATGATTTTATATATGCGCAGAAATACATTTATTTTCAATATCTGTGGAGTATGCTTCGGTAAATTTTCCAAATAATTAAATCTGTGTGTTACTTCGTATTAATTTTCTTAAGTGCGTGGGAGATTCTTTCTTCCACTAAGATCGAAGTTTTCATGAGAAGTCTGAGAACTACAAAAAGCTAACGCAAATAGAAACATTAAGTAACTTCCAAACTCAAGAGGATTGAACAGTACGTATTAATGGGAGTTAAATCGAAATGTTATTTATTTAGAACGAACCTAGTTCACATAAGCCATTTTGTTCCAAACACAAAAAGTAAATTAAATACATTTGTTGTGATTTCAGGAATGTTTCTTGTTGATAAAGCCTACAAATTCAGTGTTTATTAATTGTTATTTGACACACATTAGTGGGCAAATAAGTGAGATTATTAAAGTACGTGTTTTTTTAGGGCATACACTTTTGTTTGGACAGCGTGTTTGGTAACGTAGTGAGGCACCATCGCCTCGGGGCTTGTAACTCGCGCTCCTAGTCCTTCGGCTTTCATACGTGTTTGTTATTGTTTTGAATTACCTATTCAAATAAGCCGCGTAAAATTTACAACTTTATACCCTTAATGTTTCACTCATAACATTGATGAACTTGCCCAAAAATTATGAAAATCTGAAAAGCCTCAAACTCGTTATGTATTCAAAAAGTGGATTAGAATAAAAATAACATTGGAATAAATACTCGTGTTAGTGTTTTATTTGTTTAATTAATTGGGCAAACGTGTAATTAGTTCACATTATGTAGAAGTTGGAAAACATCTGGAACAACTTTAATCATGCGCTACTTCGCCTATTAAATAAATTTAAATAAGGGTTTTGTTTTTTTTTTTCAGATGAACAACGTCGAATATACGGTTCTGAGAATGGAGAAGACTCGCCGCGGTACATCAGCAGTCCGCAACGGCAAGCATCGCCCTTCCCTTTAGAAAGCACCAATCGAAGATTTTATAGAAGAAATCGGAATTCTAAAGGTATTACACATTAGTATTTAAATTTAATAGAGGGCGCACACCTTTGACTAAACTAATGCACAACTGTTGTGCGTTTGTCGAATGTTTCATAGCCCATTCAAGTGTTTAGTTGCACAATTATAATCGAGTAGTGTGCGTACCTCCACATAAGCTCCTAGCAATCAAAGCGAGATTAAATAGTTGTGCGATAGTTTAGTTTCAGGTGTGCGTACTGCTTATGCTCTAACAATCAGTTATCCTACATGATATCATTAATGTCATGTACAAATTAGATACTTGATATATCGTGTTTAATAGTCGTTTTAGTTGTACGATGTATTTATTTATGAATTTTACAATCTTACATTTTCCAATTAATTCAGGTGAGGAGGTGTTCACCGCAGAGGCAGGAGGGACTCTATCGCGCCGCCACCGCCGCCCTGATGACTTCCCGCACGACACCGCCAACCGAAATCCTAGGCATTGTCATATCA